CGCGCTACGTCCGGGAGGCTCCGCTTGCTGCAGCGCCGAAGTAGGTTACAGTAAAGGGTGGAGAGGGGAAAAGTAGGTTAAGACAAGCTCAGCAGGAGCTGCATGGGAAAAGAGAGGGGAACTGTGCCGGGCAAAAAAAGCCGGAGCTGGAAAATCCCAGGGCTCCCAGCCAAAGCCCTGCACCAGGCGGGATGCGGCGGCGCGGGGCTGGAGCGGCCGCCTGGATTTGCGGGATTCCAGCGGTGCCTCTGGGATCATTTCACGTTAATACCGGGTTTTTGTAGCGGTTCGGTTGTTCCCACAGCTCCGAGGGGTCCCTGGGGGATGCGATAGCTCTGAGTTTCGCTCCATCTGCCGGACAATCCTCCCCTTGTCCCAGGCTGCTTCCAAGAGCTGTTCCCAAGTTTTTCTCTTTTTACCTCCGTTTATCTGCAGGAGCCATCGGCTGAAACCCTGCTCTCCCACAGGGAGGGGAAACCCTCACTGGAATCCCAGTGGGCAGCCTTGGATTACGGGCTGTATTAAAAGGGGGTGGGAATAAAAGGCTTGTGTGAATCAGAGGCATTTGGGGGGGATACCGACACCAAGTCACCTTTTCTGGTGTGTTTGCAGCTAAGTAGGGTGCAGTGGATGTTGGAGTGTCCACCAAAGCAGATAGGTCTGGCACTGGTTGGGTTATTTTTGTTTCCTCTGGTTCCTGAGGGCAAATTATGTTATTTTTTAGGAGTTTCAGGGCAGCTGGGAATCCCACCGTCACCAGCTGTGGATTTGTGCCTGCATCCCAAACCCCCTCCTGGGATGGCCCCGAGCTGCCTCCAGAAATGGGTGCTGAGTCCTGGGTGGGCTGTGACTAGGCAAAGCTCCAGTGCCAACCAGGAGCTGGCACCCTCTGGGCCTTGTGCCTCCTACATTCCTATGGCAGGGGCTTGGGCATCTGATGCTTGGATCTGCTTTACCTGGGGCCAGCCCTGTTCCTGCTGGGGTTTAAATCCATTTGACAAGATCTGGAATGCTCTGGCAGCCAGGGCAGTGCCAGCCTGTAGCATTGCTTGGCCATGGCTCGTGGGCCCCCAGCCACAGCCTGTCCCCTTCTGAGGCCATTGCCACTCCTTCCCCAGCAGAGCAGCACCCCGAACACCTTGGGGTGCCCCTAAGGTGCTGGAATTCCACAGCTCTGAAGGATTAAAATGCTTCACATTAGAGATTTATTAGTGCTGGCTTACAGGGGGGAGGGCTCGCACCAGCTTCGCCTTCCCTTTGGGATTGAGGGGCACATCCCAAATTCTTGGGGGATTCAGGAGGTGTCCCCATGGCCCCCATCAGGCTGGGGCAATGCTTGGCAGGGAGATGGCACCTGGTGGGGCTCAGACTGACTGGATGGTGGCAGCTGGCTCAGCCCCTCCCCAAATCACAGGGTCTCAGCTTAGCACAGACAGTCATGGTGAAGGCAGAGCTCGGTGGCTGTTTTGGGAGTGCAGAAGGGGAGAAGGGCTTCTTGGCTTCATGCTGCCACCCTGATGTGTGTGTGCTCCTTTACCAGGAGCTATTGGGAGGAACTGAAGCACGGAGGATGCTCATTTTGGCTTGTGCCATCACATCCCAACCTGCATCCTGTAAATCCCTGGCTCAGCCCCGCTCGTCCCCTGCAGCATCCCCCTCTGATGTGTAATTAGCTGCATCCCAGCCCCGTGGTGCTGGCCACTAATTAGGAGAAACTCAGGCAGAGGCTGTACCGAAGCTGTGCCCTGGCTCTCACAGGACCGTGACGACCGGGGGAGTTTCCATGCAGGAGGCAGATTTCCATGCGGAGCTTGGATCCGGCTTTGGGTTGTTATGTATTTTTCCTTCCTTTCCCTGTGCTGTCAGCACAGATTGTAATTTTAACAACTGATTGCTGAGCCCAGATGAGCCTGTGGGAAACACCTTTTTGGTTCACTCAATATTTTGTTGGTTTTTTTTTTTCTGACTTCATTTCCTTATGGCAGATGCATAGGGATTTCCTCCGGAGCAGGAAGAACCTTTATTTAACTTTGCTTAGCATCATCTGCTCCTTCCCCTCCTTCTTGCGTGGTTGGTGTGACTCCCATCGCAGAGGCTGGTCCCTCTCCAGTTTGGGATGGAGTTGGGATCTCCAAGGGAAGAGGGTGATGTTAGGCAACCCATAAAACCTCTAATAAAATTTTTGGGGATGCTGCGGGGATGCCTTAGAGCATCCCATTGAGAAGGGGAAATAGGGCTCCAAATTGCTTCTCCACTGGGATTTTCCCAGGATAATGACCCCAGTGCTCCTCCTTGGGCAGGTCTCCCCTGGTGATGAAGAGGAGCAGGATGTGCTGGTGGCTTGTCACCGTCCTGGGGGTAAGTATGGACTTGTCTGTCCTGTCCCATCCCATCCCTCTGTTTCTCTGCTTTCGGCTCCTCTGATGCTCTAACACCACCCCAGGGCCATAGTAGGACACCCCAAAAATTTCCCACCTGGAAACTTGCAGCAGCTCGGTCCTGGGGAGATGCTCGGTTTGGATTGAGGCTTTTTTTTCCCCCCACAAATTCTTCCCACTCTCT